TCATGTGTGCACTGGAGTAGCCCTTTTAATTTCCTTCAAGAACTTTTCCTTTGCATTCACAAGTTGGCTGTTTGGTGCAAGAGGTCAAGCTTTTGGACTATCTCAGCTTTTCACATGCCTTCCTCACTGAGTTAATCATTTCTAGCTTTTGATTTAAAGTGAGAGACATGTAACTCTTCCTTTTGCTTCAACACTTAGCCATTGCAGGGTTATTAATCGGCCTCTTTTAATATTGTTATGTCAGAGGGAATAGAGAGGCTAGAGGGGATGGGAGAGGGATGGGGGAACAGCTGGTAGGTGTAGTAGTCAGAACACACAAATTTATTAACTTTGCCATCTTATATGGGCACTGTTTGTGGCGACTTAAACAATTACCATGGTAACATCAAAGATCACTGATCACAGATCCCCATAAAGATATAATAATAATGGAAAAGTTTGAAATATTGTGAGAATTACCGAAATGCAACACAGAGACACGGAGTGAGCAAATGCTGTCAGAAAAATGGCACCAATAGACTTGCTGGACACAGGGTTTGCCACAAACCTGCAATTTGTAAAAAATGCAGCATCTGCTAAGTGCAAGAAGCAAAGTACAATAAAATGAGGTATGCCTGTACCTCAAATAAGATATTTGGGCTGTGACATTTGTTGGTAAAGTACCTGCATGTGTACAGGAGTCTAGTTGGAAATCTATAGCATTCACACAGGCTCCCCTGTGGGCCAGGAGATCTTGCTTTTTGAATTCTGTTTCTTTCCAATTCAGAATATCTGCTCTATCACTTCTGTCCCACCCAGCATCACTGGCAAAGAACTGATCTTGGAAGGTGCATATCCAGAACCTCACTTCTGCACAATTATTTTTGTTCATAAAATATTAACCTCTTTTTTAAGTATAGTTTATTTAATCTGGCCCCAGACAGACTGGACATATCTCTCAAATCCATAGTAATTTTCAGAAGGGTTCTTGTAGAAGAAATATAAGTCAACTTAGATTAGTAGAATATGACTTTAAACATTTGTTTTCCAACTCTAGTGTTACTTTAATCTAATGTTGGTTTTATTTTTCGATTAGCAAAAGAAAACCTTATAATGAGTGTTTATTTTATATAGTGGAACTATTTATGATTCTGTTGCTCAAAGAAAGAGAATACCTTACTGGTATTATATGAAAACATTTTATCTCTGTTTGGTTAGAACCCTTGGATTGCTGTTATTTTTTTAATTTTTAATTAAAAAAAAAATTTTAGTACCAGTTGGATTGCTATTAAATTGGAGTTCTGGAAATGGGAGACTTCAGCTCACGGATCTGTGCTTACGGCCTTTTCCTCTAACAATCCTAATCAATCAGCACCCTAGAGATAACCCACTCACTGAAAAGGACCAGGTGCCAATTATCACATTTAGGATTTCTGCCTAGGGCTCCCAATTAGCTTCCTGGAGTTCAGACTCTCTCTCCTCTCAATTTACATTTACTGTTGTTGGGAGCCCTGGGGCTTGAAGTAGCTGGTTCTGCTTTAGTTACTGTATTTTCACATTTCTAAAAGAATACATTTAGCTAGAGGAGTTTAGGATTAGAGACCTCAAGCCCATAGGATATTCACAATTAGTTCTGCCTCCTCACCACACAATCCCCTTTAAATCTTGGAACTCAGTAGCTTCTGTGGAGTGATCAGCCACTCCACAGAAACTATTCTGCTCTGTGCCGTGAGGAACCAAATTACACGTGGATCTCAGATGCCTTTTTTAAACAGTTATAGTTAGTTTTAGTAGAGAAGGTTGAGGCGAGGGATGAAATCTGTTTAATTCTGTGAAGAAGTCTTGACCATCCAAGCAGAACGAAACACGCTCTGCCTTTGTGGCACAGCTTTCTGGAGACTGTGGTTTCTCATTTTCTTTTGCCACACCAGTCTCCGACGACAGTTTTACCTTTTGGACTCTCCTGGTGAACTGTGCGTTCTTCAAGTGAGGACTGGCTTTTATTCGCCTCTGTGTTCCTGGGACAAAGTTTCTGATACTATAACAGCACTCACTGGTATCGTTGAAAATAGAACAAATGGACTGAGCTTGGCGCATAGCACTAGGTAATTGACAAAAGCCTTCCCTCTGAATCCTGATAGCGTTAGATCGCGGTGGGTTTTAGAATCATCACTATCATATTGATACTTTTCTTCTAATTATTATTAACACATTAGAAATTAAGAAATTGAGAATCAGGACGGTTGAGGGAGATTCTAGCTGTGGAATGATCAATGAATATGTGTTCACTACATAGTAGGAACATTGTGGGAT